CAAATTAGAATTAGTGGTGACTTGGCAAGAAAAAATTCTAATCAATTTAGAGTAAAGATGTTGATTAGCTATAACAGCTATAGATACAGATATGTATAGTTCAAAATAAACCGAATTGTGTGTGTGTGTGTGTGTGTGTGTGTGTGTGTGTATGTGTTTCTTTAGAAACTTGATTTACAAAAATGTTTAAGTCTCTGCTTGGTATTTGCTTGTGTATTTTATTTTTATTTTTTATTGCTGTTCAAGTACAGTTGTCTCTATTTTCTCCCCACCACTTCCCTCCACCCTAGCCATCCCCACCTCCCACCCCTGATCCTACCCACCAACCTTGGTTTTGTTCATGTGTCCCTTATAGATGTTCCTGAAAATCCTTTCCCCTTTTCCCACCATTATCTCCTCCCACCTCCCATTTGGTTATTGTCAGTTTGTTCTTAATTTTAATGTCTCTGGTTATTTTTACAAAGACTTTTTTTGTGGGTGTCGAAGTGAGAAATAGAAGTAAAGAATGGGATCCCACCTCATTTTTTCCTTAGCAGCAATAGAGATCTTACATGCACAGAGGTATTTGGCAGAAAAGATCAGACTTGTGGCAGGCAGGACTTTATTCTCTGAAGCCAGAGTATCAAAGTCAATGGAGACCTGATTCAGAATCCAGGCTCCACTGCACTCTAATTATAGAATGGCAGAGAAGGTATGCAGTTTCACTGAAACTTAGTTTCCTCAATTTTAACATGAGGATAACAAAGTTCTCCTGCTAGGCTTGTGAAGATTAAATGAGCTATTATATATAAAAACCACTCTAATATCTATCTATTTATCATCTATCTATCTATCTATCATCTAATCATCTATCATATATTGTCTATGGAAGAAAATCAACTGGCAAAAGTGACTACCTCTGAGAAGGGAGAGTTGCATTTCACTGTAATATCTTTTGCTCTGTTTGTGCATATGTTGCCTAAATATGTATAATATTTATGTATTTTAAAAAGTTAGGTGGTAGAATGCCAGACACATAGTGTTCAATAAATATCAGTTTTCTTCTCTTTATCTTGTCAGCTAACTATCCGCAAGGTGCACATTTGTTGTATGGGCAATACAGCTTTCTCTAACTTTATAGTGGTCTTCCCTAATTACAGATCATTACAACACCTCCTAAAGATTTAGTGGGTAAAACTAAATGTATAAAGTTATGAAAACAAACATCTTAAAACTGAATGTCCTCTTTATTTTCTCCACAAATGTTCTTGAATGAGTCTATTTTCTAAGGTGTACACATTTGGGTATGGTTCTTTGAGTATGTCACTCATGCCCAGTTCAGAGCCTTCTTCATCTAGGAAGTTCTTTATAAATACAATTTAAGAGGGAGCTAAGAATTAAAAAATTAATAGTGACTACTAGTTATTGAGCATCTACTTTAAGAGCATGCACTGTACTGGAAGCTTAACTAACCCTACCTATTATAATCTACATTAAATAGATGCAGAAATTTAGGCCAACAGAGGGTAAACAAATTACTCAAAGTCACACAGCTGGCAACAGGTCTAATTTCAACATTAATGTTCTTTCTACTATAGACCTTTCATTCAGGTACAACCTGCTATATTAATAAAGCACTTAAACAATTGTCAGGTACTGTTTAGGACTTGGGACTATTATGATTCATTCATTTTTTCATTCAACAAATACTCCTGGAATACCTACTATGAGCTTGACAGTGATTGTGTTGGGGATAAAGTGATCAACTTCATATAATGGGCCCTGCCTTTATGGAACTTGAATTTTAATGGATTAACTATGTACCTGAATTGTATCTATTGCCATATAGTTTTCTGAAGTTCTCCTGCTGAGGCAGATGAATGGTAAAATTCTTGAGACATGGCTCAAATATATCTCTATACTAAAAATCGGTGCTGCCCAATAGAAATAAAATGTGAGTCACTTATATAATTTAAATTTTTTTCTCTTTTTATCATTTAAATTTTTTCTTATAGCCACATTAAAATAGGAAAGGTAGAGGTGATATTAATTTTAATAATATATTTTATTTAGTTGAATGTATCCAAAATGTTATTACTTTAACCTGTAGCCAATATAAAATTATTAATGAGGTATTTTATGGAATTGTTTGGTGCTAAGGCTTTAAAATCTGGTGTGTATTTTACACTTAAAGTACATCTCAATTTAAACATACCACATTTCAAATACTCAAGACCCATATGTGGCTAGTGCCTACCATATTAGACTATGAAGTCTTATAGATTACTGCTTCTCAAACTTTAGCACACATAGGAATAGTTCAGAAAGTGTTAATACACAGATTTCTGGCTTCGCCATCAAAGGTAAGTGGTGGTGCTCAAGAATTTGCATTTCCAACAAGCTCCCAGGTGGTGATGATGCCGCCAGTGCACAGACCATACTTTGAATAGCATTGCATAATACACCATGCACATCTCCCAGGGAAGTGTAGAAATTTTAATGAGGAAGATGGCTTTAATATTTTACCTTTTAAAAGCACTTTGTCATAGCCGTTAGTGAAATTCAAATTAAAACCAATATGAGATATTGTCATACTCCCATCAGAGTAACCAAAATGAAAAATAGTGATAACATTGAATGATGCTGAGGATGTGAAGAAACTGGATTACTCATATATTGCTGGTGGGAATGTAAAGTAGTTTGGCATTTCTTTAAAAACAAAACAAAAAGATTCTTGTAAGTTCTGAGATCTGGAGAGAACTATAAAGCCATGAAAAGACATGGAGGTCACTTAAATACATATTACTAAGTGGAAGAAGCCAAGTTGAAAGGGCTATACTCTGTATGATTCCAACTATATGACATTCTAGAAAAGAAAAAAGCAGTGGAGACATTGAAAGATCAGTGGTTGCCAGGGGCTAGGGGGCAGGAGGGATACATAATCAGAGCACAGAGGATTTTCAAGGGAGTGAAACTCTACTGTATGATACTATAATGCTGAATACATGTCATTATGTATTTGCCAAAATTGATAGAATATACAACATCAAGAGTGATGTAAATTAAGAGTCCTAGTGTAAATTATGGACTTTGGATGATAATGATGCATTAATATACATTATCTATTGTAACATATGTATGATTCTGGTGGGGATGTTGACAGTGAAGGAGGCTGTGAGTGAATGGAGACAGAGTACATATGGGAACTTCTTGTATTTTCTACTCTCAATTTTTCTAAGAACCTTAAACTTCTCTATAAGATAGAATCTACTTAAAAGGGGAGGGGGAAGTTCTAAGATGAATAGCAGTGATCATTATGAAACAAAGTGAATGTACTTAATACCATTAAACTGTACACTTCAAAATGGTTAAAATATTAAATGTTATACCATGTATATTTTATCATCATAAATGTTTAAAAGAAAAAAGAAAAATGGTTTTACCATATGATTTTATTCTTGGACATTTATCTTAGAGAAACAAAAATTTATTTCAGGCAGAAACTTGTATATAAAAATATTCATGGCAGCTTTTGACCCAGCTATTCCACTGCTGGGATTATACCCTAAGAATCCTGAAACATCAATTTAAAAGAACCTATGCACCCTAATGTTCAGAACTGCACAATTAACAATAGCCAAGTGCTGGCAGCAACCTAAGTGCCCATCAACAAATGAGTGGATCAAAAAACTGTGCTACATTTACACAATGGAATACTACACAGCAGAAAGAAAGAAGGAGCTTCTACCCTTCCCAACAGCATGGGTGGATCTGGAGAGCATTATGCTAAGTGAAATAAGCCAGGTGGTAAAAGACAAATACCATACGATCTCACCTATAGGTGGAATCTAATCAACAAAAGAAACAAGTGAGCAAAATACAACCAGAGACATTTAAATAAAGAATAAACTGACATTAACCAGGGGGGGTAGGGAAACAATAATAGGGGAGGGAAAAATGGAAGTGTTGTCAAGGTGCATGTATAAAGAACACAAGGACAAAGCCAAAGTAGGGGTAAGATGAAGGGTGGGAAGGGAGGAAGTGCTGGGGAGAAAATGGAGACAATTGTACTTGAACAACAATAAAACCCCCAAATATTTAGGGCAGCTTATTTGCAATAGCCCCAAACCGGAAACAATTGAAATATTTCTCAATAGGTGAATGGTTAAAGAAACTAGTATGTCTATACTATGAAATGCTATCCTGCAAAAAAAGATATAAACTATTGATACTTGAAATAATTAGGATCCTCACAGAAATTTCACTGAATGAGAAAAGCTATTGTCAAAAGCATGCAAACTGTGTGATTCCATTTATGTAAACACTTGCAAAATAACATAATTATAGATGTGCACAATGGATTAAGGAGTTTAGGAAGGGAAAGGGGGCAGTAATAGAGGACTATAAAGGGATGAGGAACTCCTAGACATGGTACACTTAAGTATCTTGATTGTGGTAGTAGTTAAATGAAGCAATATATATGAATAAATTGCACAGAGTGACAGAAACATATGCTCACACATAAATGAGTGCCTGTAAAACTGGTGAAATATAAGTAAGCTCTACTTGTTTTATTGATGTCAATTCCCTGGTTTTGAAATTGTACTATAGTTGTGTAAGATGTTATTGTTGGGAGAGACTGAGAGCAGTGGGCATAGAAACTCCATGTATGTGTCTTTATACCTTTTTATGCACATGTAATAATTTCAAAATAAAAAGTTTTTAAAAAATACCTTGCATATTCTATCTCATTTGATCCTTACAATAACTACAGGAAGTGAGTGGTATGATAATTGACATTTTATAGAAAAAAATAAGGCCATGGGACAAACTGCTAATGGAAAATTATGTAGCTAAAAGCAAGCAAAGCCACACCCTCCTGAAAATATAAATATAGTAATACAAGTATCTATAAATACAAGTAATTTAGTTAACCTAATAGTCAGAAATACAGCTGTTCTTTAATGGCAAGTTTGCAAAGTAAAAATAAAAAGCAAGCCCTCTATCTTCCCACAACTTACGATAGACTTGAAGGCTATAGCTCCTGGTGATGGTGCTCTTAATTTTAGAGGTCTTTACATTTATGTCAGCCTTGTAGATCCCTGCATCTTCCATCCTCAGATTGCTGATCTCCAGGTTGTAGTTCGTATGTGAAACATTTATTCGTTCATAATAATTTTCATGGGTCACAGTAACTTGGGGTGCTGCTCCTGAGTCTGGTACTACTACCAGAGCAACAGAAGTTTTGGAGTTCATCCAAGCAATGCTAGTAACTTGCTGTAATTCTTGGATACATAAAGGGAAAATAACTGGTTCCCCCAGAGTCCCATTCACTGTGATGATGTCTGTGTTGCTTTCAACTGCTTCCAGACCTGAGGACATAAATAAAATTTTTAAAAATGTAGCCATTTAGCTGTTGTACCTTTTAGAGTTCCTTGTCTCCCTAAGCTTGAGTCTCCTTTAGGAGCTCTCATGAATGCAGATCATTCAGTTTCTTGAAGATGTCTTTTTTTTGGCATTCTACTCTAGATATATTTAATATGTTATGATGGCTAAATTTTCTAAAGGATTCTCATTCAGAACTCAATTTTCTAGTGAATTTCCCTGGACCCATTTCATTTAAAACATGTCTAATCTAGACTTACAAACGCTGAGATCTAGTAGGGATCTGAGAGATGAGGACCATAAGGCTCCACGAATTCTCAGATATTAAATGTCTTTCTTTTCCAAAATCATATTGCCAAGTGGTGGAACAGCTAGGGCAAGAGACTGGGATGGCTACTATGGTCTTTGCACACAGTAAGTAACATTTATACTTCTATTTCTGGGAAGATACAGTGCTTTAGAAACTCTGGAGTAATACTCCCGAGTTGATGATTTTGGGGGTTCTTTTTGTTAAAAGATTTTATTTATTTAGTTTTTAGAGAGGGGGAGGGAGGGAGAAAGAGAGGGAGAGCAATATTAATGTGTGGTTGCCTCTTACATGCCCCTTACTGGGGTTACCTGGCCCACAACCTAGGTATGTGCTCTGAGTTGGAATCAAACCAGTGACCCTTTGATTTGCAGTCTGGCACTCAACCACTGAGCCACACCAGCCAGGGCACGCGTGCGCGCGCACACACACACACACACACACATACACTTTTTTATTCACTATTATATCTTCAGTCTCTGGAAGAGTACTTGACACATAATGGGTGGTTAGTAAATATTTCTTGGGTAAATTAATAAGATTTTACTTATGTTTTACCTAGAATTTCTTGGAACAATTTCTGAAGTAAAGTTCTTTTATTCATTCATACATTTATGAATAAAGGCATATATTTATTCAAGGTCAGATTTGTTCCAGATATCATGACAGGTATTAATTAACATAATCTATAATACAAATGTTTGTTGAGCAGACTATCCTTTTAAGCATTAGAAAGGAAAAACAAGGCCAAGAAACACACTGCTAATGGAAGAATATATAGCTAATGTAATCTTTTAAGCATTATGGAAGAGATTGGGGATACAATGGTAAATAAATAGTTTCTGCTCTACAGAACATAATAGTTAAAGAAAGAGACCAATGTGGATCAGGTACCACAAATGATTAGATACAAAATGTTAGTATTATTATGATTGAGAGAGAATAGTGAGGGGGACTTGATGTATTCTGGCAATACAGGAACACTTTATACTAAAAGCTGGAAGAAGAATTTATTTAAAAATCTAAAGTGAAAAAAAGAAATTAAAGTTTTATTTTCTTTCCTTTCATCATCTAATGAAGATAAATCAATATAATACAAAATCTGTAAAATGAAAGGCAATATAAGATGTTATCTTCTAATCTTCTTTCATTACTGTTATTCTCCTTGAGCCCTATTTAGTGAGAAATAGTGTTTTGGGCCACCAGACAATATTAAAAATATTTAATAACCAACAGACACAGGTACTGGCCCATCAGTAAGTGTATTGTACATAAACAATAACAGGGTTATTCTGATTAGTACTGGCTGCATGTAAGCCCTAAAGAGCAGGACATAAGTTTTTCATGTAAGAGGGTTCAGGCTGACCCTAACATTTATCCAGGGCTTGGCATAAAGAGAACAAGTATAGAGTCAGTCATTGAAAATACACATCAATTTGAAGTGTCAGAAAAGCAAAGGGATATTTTCAACCTGATGATGCTAACTAAGGCTACTTTTGGTCTCCCGCCCATTAGTTCTTGAATGAGCCCAGGAACTGTAAATATAAACCTCTTTCTTTTCAAATTAACCATGATTTTCCCTGAGGAGGAGTATTCCAGGTAAGGCCTGATGACTTAGTTGGGGTCAGATGTGTAACAAGGCCCTGGGGGGAGGAAGAGACTAAGGACCCTCATCTACAAACATTTATTAAGTGCTAACTATGTGCCAGATGCTGTATTAGGAATTCAAGGTTGAATAGGACATGACTGCAGTCCTGGGGGAGACAGACATGTGCAAAAGTGAAAAATAATGCAATGTGCTATGTGGTAAGAGCACATGGAACCCACCATTGGGGGACAGAGGAGAAACTAAGGTTGTCTTCAGTGGCAGAAGTCGTAATTTACCAAAATCTGTTCTTTTGAACATTAATTCTCTCCATGTACATTGTTGCATTGGGCTGATGAGGTCTGGTTGAGGGGCATGTGAAGTGTCCTAGCCTGAATCCCTGAATGTCCCAGATATTGGTATGTGATTTGTATAGTTGTACAGAGCCTTGAGCTTTGGAAGACCCTGAACTTGATGATGCTGTGCCACCTTGAAATTTTTTATTATATTTGAATAAGAAGTCCCACATTTTCATGTGGTACTGGGTTCTGCAAATTATACAGCTGGTCCTGGTGCCAGATACTCCAGATCTTCCATGTATGTTTAAGGCCTTTTTTGAAATTCAGTCCCCTAGTACCTGATTGCCACACTGCTCTTTGTATTAATGTCAGGTGTGAGAATATGGATGCAATGCGTGCCATACTCATAATTTTAGTGGGTTGTCTCGTCAAACCCCAGGAAGTGTGTAGGCAGTTTGCTAAGATGGAAACCTTCTTACCACTGGTGCAGTTGTGCAGCCACAAAATAGCTGAAGATATGTGGTGTTGTTTTTAAAATTATGTTTTATCTTCCATAGCAAGTCATTCAGGAAGTGATGCTGGGTGTCAAAGAATAATGAGGTAGAGTAGGTGGCAAGCAGAAGAAGTTGGGGGAAGCCTGATGCTATTTGTGCTTCTGGTGTTGTTGGGAATTCTGGGCTGGCTGAGAAATGATACAGGGTTTGTGCAGACATAAGATAAAGATTTTGCCACCTTCAGATACTCCACCTGTGGTGTGAGAGAGGCAGCTGCAATACTATATATAGCATGTAGTGGAAAGATAGGGAGGCTAAAAATGTGGGTGCTGGTACTTTTACATATGTGCTGGGCAACCTTAATAAAATCACAAAACCTTTCTGAGTCTCAATTATTTCATTTATAGAATGAAAATAGTAGCTATAAAATTTCCCTGCCTAATTAGTGGTCAGCAAATCATATAATATGAGTGGAAATGCTTCATTAACCATCAAGGCAAGATACAAGTTAGTTATTTTTGAGATGGTAATTTCAGTAGGAACTCAAAGGAGGAAAAGATAACTTTGAACTATAGAAGTTAGAGAAAACTTATTGAAGTTTTCTTCAATAAGAATTTGAGGAGGACCTTGAAGAGCAAGTATAATTTTACTGTATAGAAAGGGGGAAAACTGGGTGTTTCATGTCCCTGGGTTCTGAATAAAAGTTTAGAAGCAGGAGAATGTGTAATGTAGTTTGAATGAATATAGATTGGAATAACAGTAGAGAGAAATAAGACTGTAGATATAAAGAGATATGGTTTAGATTTGGGAGAGCTTTGAGTTTGATGTCTACACCACAAACATAGGACAGTTATTAAAGTTTTTGAGGATAAAGATAAAAATGATGTTTTAGGATCATAGTAATATAGTAATGCTGTATAGAAAAAAGCAAGTGAGCTTGAGTGACCATTTCAGAGACTATTGTAACCATTTGAGCATTAACCAAGGGATGATAATTAAAATGGAAAGGAAGGGCTACATTTGTAAGATAACACAAAGAAAGGCAAGGAGTAATGATATCTAATAGCATTTAATTGTTCAACAATATATTTTGAACTTTGCTACTTTATGTCAGAAGAAAACCAATTCAGTTTATTTTGGAAGGAAGTCAAAAGTAGAAGACAAGTTTATTGTTAGAAATATTGAGGACTTCCACCAAGATGGAGGCATAGGTGGAGATACCGTGCTTTCTCCCACAACCAAGTTGAGAGACAACAAAATATTAGCAACAGAAAACACAGCCAGAACACAGAAAATTGAACTTTTTGGATGTCTGATAACAACCAATTCTTTGGCCTTACCTGTAAGAGGGGCAAAGCCAGCAGCTGGCAGAGCAGGGTTGCACAGAAAAACTCGGTCAGATGGACTCAGGTGTGTGGATCCCAGGTGTGGGGTTGTAACGGGCGGACTCAGTGAGCGACCCAGTGAGTGACTGGCATACCCAGCGAGGGTGCAGGGTGGCGGGTTGACTGTGGTCCCGCATTCATGTGCAGATAGACCAGTGAGGGAGTGGGTAGTGAGAGACAGGATCGAGCAGGCCCCAGTGGCGAGAGGCATCAGAGGGGGCCGCCATTTCCCCGTTCTGACCCCACCCCCACATACAGCATCACAACCCAGCAACTGAGTTGCCCTGACCTGGGGAATACCTAGGGCTCTGCTCCTCATAATTAATGGGCATGGCCAGACCAAAAATGGCTCAAGAAGATCTCAAAGCCCCAGAGCCCATAAATGTAAGTGACGAAGAAATAGCAAAACTTTCATATGCACAGTTCAAAACACTGGTGATCAGGATACTCACAGAACTGGTTGATTTTAGTCACAAATTAGAGGAACATATGAAGAATAAACTAATTGAAATGAAGGGAATTGCACAGGAAACCAATAGTGATGAAGAGGAAACTGGGACTCAAAACAAAGGAGTGAACCAGAAGGAAGAAAATAATGGCCAAACAGGGAAATATGAAGAAACAAGAATTCAAAAAAATGAGAAGAGATTTAGGAACCTCCAGGACATCTTTAAATGCTCCAACATCTGAATTATAGGGGTACCAGGAGGGGAATAGAAACAGCCATGAGTGGAAACCTTATTTGAACAAATAATAAAGGAGAACTTCCCCAATCTGGCAAAGGAAATAGACTTCCAGGAAATCCAGGAAGCTCAGAGAGTCCCAAAGAAGTTAGACCCAAGAAGGAACACACCAAGGCACATCATCATTACATTAGCCAAGATTAAAATGAAAGAGAGAATCCTAGAAGCAGCAAGAGCTAAGGGGATAGTCACCTACAAAGGAGTTTCCATCAGACTTTCAGCTGATTTCTTAAAAGAGACCCTACAGGCAAGAAGGGGCTGGAAAGAGGTATTCCAAGTCATGAAATCCAAAGACCTACAACCAAGATTGCTCTATCCAGCAAAACTTTCCTTTAGAAGGAAGGACAGATAAAGTGCTTCTCAGATAAGGTCAAATTCAAGGAGTTCATCATCACCAAGCCCTTATTATATGAAATGTTAAAGGGACTTATCTAAGAAAAAGAAGATAAAAAAGATGGACAGTGAAAGGACAGCAAACTCAGTTATTAACAACCACACCTAAAACAAAAGCAAATTAAGAGGACAGCTAGATTAGGAGCAGAACCATAGAAATGAAGATCAAATGGAGGGTTAGGAACAGGGGAGTGGAAGGAGGAGAAGGGGGGAGAAGGTACAGAAAATAAGTAGCATAGATGGTAGGTAGAAGATAGGTGGGGGGAGGGCAAGAATAGTATGGGAAATAGAGAATCTAAAGAACTTGAGACACATGGTCATAAACTAAAGGGGGGATGGTGGGGGAGAGGGTATGCAGGGTGGAGGGGAATGAAGGGGGGAAATAAAACAACTATAATGGCATGATTAATAAAATATATTGAAAAAAAGAAATATTGAATTTTAGGTGGACCATCTAAGTAAGAAGTTGGAAGAATGAAAAATGAGGAGAGAGAATTGTCTTAAAGTATTGTTTGGGAGGTGGCTGTGGTAGCCTCTCCTAGTTGTTTTCCAATATTTTTTCTCTCAGAACTTCTTTTGTAGTAACAGAATCCCTAATTTGTAGCAGAACATAGAGTCACTCAATGACTGTATTTCTCAGCTTTCTGCTAGCTATGTTTGGTCATATGAGTAAGTTCAGATCAATACAATGAAAGTGGTGGTGTTGTGCATGACTTATACGTCCTGAAGACAGAGAACTTTGCTTTCTTTATCTCTCTATTGCTTCCTACAGGCTGAATGCCAGGGCAAGTGGTTCTTAGACATTTTGGATCAAGAAGAGGAAGGCAAGTACAGGGAATGGTGGAGCAGGAAGATGAAAAAAGTATGGATTCCTCATGAATTTGTGTATTCTTCTACCAATGGAACTGCCAAATCTGGATTTTTTAAAAACATGAAGTAAACTTCTTTCATCATTGTGCTATTCTTATTTTTGAGTCTCTGTCACTTGCTATCAAACTAAAATCCAAGTGGTTTAAGAATCTTCCACAGTGAGGAGGTGATTGAAGGAGAGGTGGGTCATTTAGGAAGAGTATGGCTAAAGTTCTAGGCTAAGCCTCATGAACAGTGTGTGTATGTGTATATACACACACACACATATATATATACACACACACGTAAAATAAACTATATAATACACACACACATACACACACACAGAGAGTCCAAGTGGCAAGAGAGGCACTAATAGTAGAGAGTAGCTGTAGCATGGAATCCAAGAGCAGAAAGAGTCTCAAAATGGGGTTGTTACTGATTTCTAAAGATTCAGAGTGTGCAATTGAAATGAAGACTAAAAATTGCCTCTAGATTTGTTCCTTAGGAGATAATTGATGGGCTTTGAGGATAAAGTGTAAGTAAAACAATTCAAATGAAGGCCAGCATATAAAGGAATGAAGAAACAATAGGTAGGTGGTGAAGTAGTGAAGAAGCTTGACAATGAAGAAACGTTATAAAATAGAACAGTAGTGAGAAAGTAAAGTAAAATGAATTTAATGCGATTTTGTTTTAAAATAGAAGAGATTGGTGGGTAAGTGTTGGTAGGAAGGGAGAGCAGATGGAGATTTTCCTGGAAGGAGAGACTTGTTCTAGGTAAGTTGCTCTGACTTATGGGCTTTCTAAAGCTCTATGTTTCTCTCTCATAGTACTTGCCAAATTGTGTGGTAGTCATAAATCTATGTGTCTGTTTATTGGCACTGTGACTCACAGAGTGACTCAAGTGCAGAGACTTTGTCTTCAAATCCCTAGTCATGGCACAGTGCATGATACAAAGGCCACTAATGCTTGTTGTGGACCTAAAGATGGAAGGGATGTGGTTTTCAATCAAAGGATGGTCATGCCTTCACCTGAAGTGGAAATGAAAAATGAAAGAATAGGGGTATTTTGAGGTGTTATTGGGGGTGGAGATGAAAAAACTGTCTCTTAGTAGGGTTCCCTTAGAAGGGAACACAATTTTGAGCCAGGTTCAGTCTCTGACATTTAGTGAGTCTCGAATCTTACTTTACTACAAGATAGGATGTAATTATGCCTGTCTCATGCATGGATTGCTGTGAGTGCATATAGAAGGCACTTAATTATGTAGCAAACATTTTGGAGTAGAGCGGGTAAAATAGAAGAGTCATGTTTCATGACCATCTCTTCAGTAATGTAGGAGGTGAGACTATTGGGTAAGAGTGAAGAGGAAAGGATAGGACTAGCTAGGAAGTTAAAATATTAGGGGTACACACTTTGAATCTTGGTATATTTGAGCTGTGTATCCTGAGAAAAATATTGAAATTATCTGATCCTCAGGCTTCTTACCTCTAAAATTTGGATAATTATCAAATGTAATTATGAAGATAAGGCATTTAGCATGATACTTGTCACATATAAATGTTAGTTGCTATTATTATTTTGATGGATGTAAAATTTTTTTAAAAATGCTACCATAAGGAATATCCTGGGGAGTCTATCCAAAATTTATTAAGGGAATGAAAAGATTGCTGAGAAGCCTTGGGAATCCAGTGAAGAGGTCACCCACATTTATAACATCTCCCAGTGAGTGTGGCTTTCTGACTATCATATGCCAGACCACAGAAGGGAAGTGTAGGAGGTAAGCAGTACATCTGAAGGAGAAGCAAAGACAAGAAAAGGCTGGAACCCTGGAGCATGGGCTTAAATGGAAAAATATGTTTATTTTGCCCCTTAGGTAGTTATTGTGAGAGGTAACTGGAAGAGAGAATGACACCAGCTTGGACAGAGAACACTATAAACAAATTATTTATTAAAGGTGGTCTTTTTTTCATGGAAAGAAATCTGGGTACCTTTACCACCCCCATAAACCCTTTTGTGTTTATAGTGATAAGTCCTGTTTCCCTGGATGAACCCATGTGTTTCAGTAGATTTTACAAATATCCAGCTCATGATAAAGTAACCGTCAAAAACCACTGGCTGGCAGAAGACCACAGAGATTATGAGGGAAAAAAAAGTATTTGAAAATAATCAGAAACTTATTCTGTGTTAGAAATATTGATGGGGTAAAGGGACTTTAACTGGCTAGAGGAAAATTCTTTAGAGTTGATCAAGAGAAACTTACTAAAGAAGTGTGGGATGGAATCTGAGATTTTGAAACAAAATATTTATGACAATGAGGAGGGCATTTAAACCTAAAACTTCATAGTTCACCTTAGATTATATTAAAAACAAAGATGATGTACACTTGTGGGTATAGAGGACTCCCCAGTACATCATACTCTGCCATTATCTCCTAAGTCCTATTTGTTCTCACCACTCCTTCTTCCACCTCAGCTCCTACTTTTCTTTCCTACCCTCACTCCAACCATGCTGGCTTCCTTTTTCTTCAAAAAGGCCAGGCACACTTGCTGTTGCCTGAAAAATTTTGTATTTACTGACCTCATTTGTACAACAACACTCTTTGTAGCACTCCATTACTGTGAAACTGCTCCAATGTCATGTCATGAGAGAGCTTTCCCAATCACCGTATTTAAGCAAAAATTCCCTCCAATCACTCTCTACTACTTCATTTTTCTTCATAGCAGTTATCATTACAAAAGTATTGTATGTGCATGTCTATTGTCTTCCCTAGGCCCCACCTCCACTAAAATGTAATTACCATGAATGCAGAGTCTTTATCTGTTTTGGTCACTATTATTTCCCTAGCACTTAGTGGGTGATTATTAAATGTTTGTTAAGAGAATGAATAATTTTTAGCTACTGATCCAATTCCCCCTTTTGCAGCAAAAAAAAAAAAAAAAAAAAAAAAGCAAGGTAGAAAGACTCAGAACAAGAGAAGGAGTGAGGGCAAGACAACTCTTGACTGGTCCCTGTGTTTTGCTGTGAAAGGTTTAAGGTATAAACTGATAAATAAGAAGGAGCATTTGGTTAACTGTAAGTTCTTTCCACCACAACACTGTCATGCTATTTGCAAAAAAAATTTTTTTGCATAGATCCACAGGATGTGGCTTCACAGAGTGGTTAATAAAAGTGTCCTGAATGAGGCAACAAAATAATGTTCTAGTTAAGGCTCTGTTGCTGACTAGCTAAATGACACAAATAAGTCACTTACATACTAAGTTTCAAAATTCTAGTTGGTAAATGAAATAAAAATATATGCTCTAACATTGAAGAGTTAGGATTAAATGAAATGAACATGCTCTCAAATGTGTATACCAAGGTAGAAAAATGTAGAGATGCCCAAAATGGTCTTGCCATGAGAAGCACCCTCCATCTACTCCCATGTGAAGCACTATGACTTAGTAAGAAAGAGCCAGGCTGCCTAGAATCTTGGTTCTGTCAGGTACTAGCAATAAGACCTTGTGAAAGTTAGCCACTTCTCTGTTTTATCAGTTTTAATATGAAGCTAATAGAAGCACTTACCTCATAGAAATGTTGTGAAAGTTAAATGAGTTAATATTTGTAAACCTGTTAGAAAAGTGCCTGGCATATGCTAGGCACTTTATATATTTGTTATAGGAAATAAAAAGCACATTGTTACAGAGATTAAAATAATACTCCCAGACAACCCTTAAGGTACAAAGAAGAGTTATGTTGGGAAGATGTTAGAGAAGGTAAACATGTAGCTGTTAATGAGAGTAGAAATGAGGAAGAGCATAATGTTGCTTAATAGTTACTTAACTCCCCTTCCTTTTTTAAAAAAGGATCCTTCAAGTAAGCATTTCTTGTTTTCTCTCTTTCTTTTTTTTGGCAGTAGCTAACCTTCCCTTCCTCTTCTCTCATCTACTACCTCCTAGATTAATGAATGATGATGGAACCACCATAAACATTGCAGGCCTGGAAGGGCAATTTAGAGATAGTTGTACCCTGTGGCACTCAAAAGAGAGTTGGTTATAACTGGCCATACTGAGTAAAAGGAAGTAGAGGAAGGAGGAAGCAAAGGGTTGAGCAGCTAGTTTTGTGTCATTCTCCATGAGGCTGGAAAGTCCTTGGTTATGAGGTTTTAAAAAAATTAAACTGCCACTCCCATAAAATAATGTGTTCTGTATTTTAAATTTTATATCATTTCAGTTGAGATTTAGGTTGACTTAAATCCACTTCTTCAAAACAAACATACAAACACACAACTTCTCAAAACAAAGATAAGTTCCTGGCCAACCACTGTTTTATACATTCCCCTCTTACTGTATAATAAAAAATTGAGTATAGCAAAGAAAATATGGATATAAGCTCTACCAACATCAGTCACCCAACTGATTGCTTATACCTCTTTCTTTTCCAGATTCCACATAGATGAATGTAGTTACCCTCAAACTTGCAGATTCACACTTCTCTGAGGTTCAGGACAAGAAAGGTTTGACCCAGGAAATACTTGAGTAGCTCAAGTGTCCAGGGATGACTTTTGTGCTTCTATTGTGAACTCACTCCACCTGCTTTGTCGGTTACCATATTGATCTCCAGGGCTATTTCAGCCCATTAGGCTGATGCAGTGGGTCTCTACCCACTCCTACTGGAGTCCTATGTTATCACAAGGATGCAGCTTTCGAGTCTCCAATTGGAAACAGGATTTTTGATATTTAGCTGATATTTAGTTTTCCCCATGCGGAATATTTTTCTATTTCTGTAACTGGGCCCTGCCTCTGAGCCTTTCTTGAATGTTCATGTAGCAGTCTGCTCAAATTTCTTTCTAAAACAGAGTCTTTATTATCATCTTGAAGGACTTCAGACCAGTGGCAAATGGCTCTTACCAGGACTCTTCACCAGGGACAAAAAACTATCTTTTTTTTGTGTGTGTGTGGTTGAGGATCTTTTATTACTCTTAACTTTTTTCAACTTTTCTCTGACTACTTTTTAATTGAAATTTTTTCTTAGTTATTTTTTAAGTACAGTTTTTTGTGTATTTCTCCCATCCGAGCCCCCACCCCGTACCATGCTCCCCACCTCCCCCCCAGCCCTCATCCCTGCGTCCCTCACATTTGTTCCCCCAAATCCCTCCCCCCTTCCCCCTTAAATTTCCTTCCCTCTCCCCTCTGGTCACTGTCCCCTTGTTCTCTATTTCAGTGTCTTTATTTTTATTCTGCTTGCTTGTTTATTTTGTTGTTTAGCTTCCTGTTAAAGGTGAGATCATACGGTATTTGTCTTTCAAAACCTGGCCTATTTCACTCAGCATAATGCTTTCCAGTTCCATCCATGTTGTTGCCAAGGGTAGTAGCTCCTTCTTCCTCTCTGAAGCATAGAATTTCATTGTGTATATGTACCACAATCTTTTGATCCATTCATTTACTGTTGGGCACCTAGGTTGTTTCCAACTCTTGGCTATTGTAAATTGTGCTGCTATGAACATTGTGGTGCATAGGTTCTTTGAAATTGATGTTTTAGGATTCTTGGGATATAATCCTAGCAGTGGAATTGCTGGGTCAAGAGGCAGGTGGATTTTTATTTTTCTGAGAAAATTCCATACTGTTTTCCATAATGGTTGTACCAGTCTACAATCCCACCAACAGTGAACTAAGTACCCCTTTTCTCCACACCCTCTCCAACATTTGTTGTTTGTTGCTTTATTTATGATAGCCATCCTGACTGGTGTAAAGTGGTATCTCATTGTGGTTTTAATTTGCATCTCTCTGATAGCTAACCATATTGAGGATTTCTTCATGTGTCTCTGAACATTCTGTATGTCCTCCTTGGAGAAGTGTCTGTTCAAGTCCTTTTCCCATTTTTTTAATTGGGTTAGATGTCTTCCTAGAATGGAGTCGTGTAAGTTCTTTGTGTATTTTGGAGATTAAACCTTTGTCTGAGGTGTCATTGGCAAATATATTTTCCCATACAGTTGGTTGTCTTGCTAATTTAATACTGTTTTCCTTAGCCATGCAGAAGCTTTTTATTTTCATAAGATCCCATTTGTTTATTCTTCCCTGTATATTCCTTGCTCTAGGGGACATATCAGTAAAAATGTTGCTCTGTGAAATATCTGAGATTTTCTTGCTGATGTTTCCCTCTAGAACTTTAATAGTGTCATGGCCTATAACAAAAAACTATCTTTAACCTCCTTGGATGATGATTGGTGCCAAGTTATCCAGATGGGCCCACTCACCTCTGCAGGAATGTTCCATAACTGTGCTTTCCATTTAACAGGACATCAAGACTTTGTTGATATTGACCCTTTGTTTGTTGTTAAGAAGCAAAGTCAAGCCAACCCAAATCATACTGATGTGAATGGTACATGAACCATATCTAGATATGGTTTTTTCCTTGGATATTCTGCCTTGTTGGCCTGCTTAAACTTTTGTTATTTGCGAAGGCCTGTCTTATAACCCCCATCCTCTCTATAGATTGGTGTAGAAACAGGCTCAGTGTCTCATTGAATAATCCTGTATTGCTGGGAATAAATCACCACTCTTTATTGACAGATCCCAAAATATGAAAACAATCAATAGTAGGGACGATATTTTATTCCACTTCAGCCTCAAAATGGATGAAGTCAGTATTGCTCAGTGGTTAAGGCTGAAGACATTGGAGGTCAAATCCTACTTCCTCCACTTTTTGGCTTAATGACTGCCAGAACTCTGTCTCAAAGTTTTCACCTATAAACTTTGGTATTAAAAGTACTCATCTAATAGGGTATTGTGAGATTTAAATAAAATAATAAATATAGACTACTTAGAGTAATGCCAAACATGTAGTATTGCTGATGAGGGAGGGGTTTAAAAAACTTAAACAAAAGAGGTATAGAGAAAAAGAAGAATTAAAATTTCATGAAAGAAAACACATAGAGAAAATGGACATAGAGCAAAAGTGGTGGACTTGCCTGTCTTCTCCCTTAGAGGGTGGGTGGCTAGTAGGATACTGGAAGAGACAGTCAGAGTCACAGGGTTCACAAGTCATGTTTAGTGAGTTGAGATTAGAACATAAGCCTGTGAGTCTTGGGTCTTAGAGAAAAAAATTCCAATGTGGAAGAGTCATGAGTTTACAAACTTAGACTTCTCTTATTTCAGTAATTTCGAGATAAAATGGAAACTTTTAACTTCCTTTTCCATTGCTTCTCAGCTGCTTCAACTGCCCTGAGTTCCAGGAAAGTGCATGAAATCAGTTGATTCATAGCCCAATGCTAAACATTTGCCAGAAACAGCAGCAGGAGGGATTCAGGTATAATTTTGTACTCAGAAAATGTTTGGGAAATAACTTTTTAAAAAGTTTTTACAATAATTTATTTTTATTTTTTATTTTAATGTATTTTTATATTAAATTAAAAAAACCAAATCATTGTGTGGACTCTGAGTTCTAGTTATTTGCCAAATTAAGCCAGCCAATATTTATTTCTATAGCATTTACTTAATAACAGTCTTTGCACATAGTCAGATATTACCTGTTATAAGTAACCAAGAGTACTTTTTTGGATGTGTCCTTCTTTACTAATTCAATCAATCATTCAATAATCATTTTGTAACTTTTAAACAGCAAAAAGATCCATTTAGCAAAGGTTAATGGTATGTGAAAGTGATTCTGGTTCTACTTCTGCAAAAACAAGCCCCAACCCTTGATATCATGGGTTCTTGACAAAATAAATATCTCACCCTTATTTACTCCAGAACCCCAAATACTACACCTGAGCTCACAACTCCCACCACCTTTTCTTCTGTTTATGCTTGGATCATCTCAAACAGAGAAGTTTTGTCAAGGATCCCTGTACAATAAATCCCTGGCTCTTCCTAATACTGTGTGAAAGCAAGTGTGAAAAAAAAACAGCATTAGCTAATATTTATTAAGCTCTTACTATATTCAGGTCCTGTGGCAAATGTTATACACAAATTACCATTTTGATTCTCAAAAAGATTCTCTTCAACTAAGTATCAAGTGCTGTAATAAAAACATTTCACTATTTTGAAGTCAAAATAAGAGGTTGAGCTTATACAACTTTCCCAAAGTCACAAAACTAATGGATGAATTACTAGCTGATTTGACAATTTGATCTCAGGTTCATGAAATGAGGCAAGTGTACCATACAACTGCCTCTTATCTTACCATGTGTTAACTCTTTGAAGAGTATCAAGGATTTAAAAACTTAATGAGTGAGGAGATCAGAAAAAATGTGGAGCATTCTTTCTCAAATAGCCTTGGGATTAGCAGAAACAAAGTTTTTTTCACCACTACCAGTTCTAGGTTGTGAAACTCCAGGTGAATTGTTTAAGCTGAATCTTAATTTATACTTTTTTGCATAATAGTATCTTATTTCAATGGCTTTAGTAGAATTGCATGAGAATTGTAGAACGCTTTGCAAATTAGGTGGTATACCAAATGCCACCTTCCTCTATGATATTAGGGACATAGCTAGATTTCTGCTTAGTTTCTCTCCAACTCTTTCCTGCATCTACTTGCATTTTACACCTGCCATGCAAGGGTGACTAGCCAAATACTTGACTTGCCTAGTGGTTGCAATCTCTATGAAGTTCAAATTGAAAAAGCCGCAATTTTAAGTGGCCGAAGACACTAAAGAGACCATAGTGCATTTATTCTACCTTTCTAAGGAAATCTTAGGCCACTAAATTCTCTATAGTCTAACTCATGTCAGGAATTTGATAGTGCAGTTTTAGAGCTGCTAAAAGGAAATATAAGTAGACTTAAAATGATAAAAAGAGTCAGTTTTGATAGAAACAAGGCAATTGTTTGGATTTAATTAAATAATATATGCAATACCCAAACCCACCTAGAGTTATGTTAATGTTACATCGTTTTATTTGGGGTGCGAAAGCAATATTCATCTGTGCTTTATAGTTTACTTTAAGCATAAGTAAGAACAGAGTTTTTACTTCAAGTTCTTCATTTTTTAATTAAACATATTTATAAAATAGAAATAACCTCTTACCATTTAATTTAGAGAGTTTTTGGAAAATAGAAGCAGAATAATAGCTCTGAATGTTCTTTGAAAACAAAGGTAGTGCCTAGAGATAAAGTTTTTATAATGATAATTATAATTATGCACCACCCAAATTTGATAGAATAATTAAATAAAATTGCAAAAGGCGTATTTCGGTCAAAAACTATATAACACATTATAATTTCAAAAAAATTGCTTTAAAGTTATTCAAAATTTTGGATTATTTATTCTTTTTCTGGGCAGTTCTACCAATTACTGACTCTCCTAAGCAGAAGGGTTTTTCTCAGCTCTTTGGAGACTGGACACAGACAAAAGTTAGAAATCCAATTTCTAAAGCTGAAAAACATTTAGGTTGGGATCTTAAGTCTCTCCTCAACCAATTGGATTCCTTTTGAGCCCAGGGTGTTTGTGTTAAGAGATCAAAAGGGTATTTCAATGTCTTCCTTAAGGGCAACTTCAAAAAGTTGATAGAAAACTGGGATGGGATTAACAAAGGTCAAAACTCACAGGTTTGCAGGCAAAGGAGAAAGATCCATAAGTAGTGCTGAGCCATCTTCTTCCAGGGCATAAAAGACTGTGCCAAGAATGGCACTCTCCTAGCAGATAGTCAGTTGCACTTGAAAATTCTTGCCTTTTATAGCTGCATTTAAAAAAGGAAGTGTGAGATAACTGATTTAGAAAACAATGGTATACGTAGTCTAGGTATTATGATGCTGTTTTTCCTTATTATGGAATGTAAAATGCTTACCATTAATTAGTTAATTAATTAATATTTATTGTATGCCTACTATGTGTCATACAATATTGCCAGGGACTATTCTGGTCACTGGCAATATAAAGGGCAACAAAACAAATGATCTCTCCCCTTTTTGGAAAGAACAACAATTAAACAGGCAATTCCAATATAGTGTGATAAATGTTTCAATAGAGAAAATACGGAGAATGGGGAGGGTATCTAAACCGGGCTAGGAGAGTGTGGGGAAGGCTTTCTGAAGGAACTGACAACCAAGCTGAGAGAGATATGAAGAGTAAGTTAGCACTGATGCGGGAGAAACCTTTTGTTCACCCAAACCCCAAGCAACCTGGGAAGAGCGATAAGGCCATTTGGGAAAGCAAACAGGATGCTCTCAAGGACTAAGATTGGCAACCACGCCCCCCCCACAATCAGAACTAACTTCCGCATTTGGCCTTTGTGCTCTGCTTCTGCCACGTAGGCATAGGGAGCCCAGTAGCCTGAACTAACTTCCGCATTCTGCCTCTGTATCCCACTTTGCCACGTAGACAGGAAGACCCGTAGACTATATACCCCAAGAACCCTTTGTTTGGGGCCCAGAATTGCTCGTGGTCTTACTAAGGATTGGCCCGCAGAGCTCGTGATCAGCTCATGCTCTGGTTGGTGATTGGTTCTGGGGCTCGTGGTCAAGTCATGCCCTGGGGTAAAATTTTCAAATCTTCTGCTGCCCAGCTGGGTGGGGTTTCCCACCTGAGTCTAAAGCAAGCTTTTATTATGCACTCTTCTTCACTTTCTCACCCTTCAACATTCCCCCATCCACTTAGGCAGAGAGTCAAACCCTGGACTCACCTTCGTCAGACGGGAGTATGGTATAGGGCTGAGAGAGCACCATTAATTTACTACTTCTACTCTTTCTCTGATGAAGGCTAGTAATTTGTTCAGTATTATAGGTCCTATAGTTAGTGCTAATACAAGAATTAACGCAGGACCCGCTATGGCAGATATTAATGTGGTTAGCCATGGTGAAGCCTTGAACAGGGATGCATACCAGGTAGGGTCCTTTTCTTGTTCCCTATCCTTTAATCTCTTAGTGAGAATCTTAATATTCTCCCGTATAACTCCAGAGTGATTGGCATAAAAGCAACACTCCTCCCCTAGTGCAGCACACAGACCACCTTGTTGCAGGAGGAGGAGATCTAGTCCTCTTCTATTCTGGAGGGCTACCTCAGCTAGGGAGTCTACCTGCCGTTCAAGGTAAATTACCTGGTCCTGTAGCAGGGCTCCGTCCTTGGAGAAGGACAGAGATAGTTGTTTCAGGCTTTGTTCTCCATGAATCATAGCCCCAGCCCCAATGGCGGTGGAGCCGAGCACTCCGACTGTTGCTGGTATGGGAATCAATAAGGGAGCTCTCGGGACCCACTTTGGGGGCTGCAAGAGGGAGGTGGAACTGCCCCCATATAAGTAGACCTGAGGGATGATATATGCACTTATACACAGCTCTGGGCGACCAGTGGGTACGAGACACTTAAATACTCCTTGGGTGCAAATAAACCATAATCCCTCAGCAGCCCGGGTTGCTCATAGTGCGGAGGTGTTCCCAGGGATCTCCTCTTGATTTAGACAATAATCACTATAATCAGAAGAGGATAAATTAAAATTGCTGAGGAGGTAACAAGTCCCGTTCCCATGGAACTCTGCAAAGGTTAGGGCACTGTCGGTCAGACAGTCTCCTATCTCTTAGTGATTTGCTAGGTCTTTGGGAGCATTTGTGCTGCCTGTAGTGGTGTTAGCCCCAATCCCTATATAAAATGGAGGCCTGGGGCTCAAGCATAGCCAACATGATTCAGTGAGGCCCGGCTGGGTATCATTGAAAAAAGGGAAGATTTTGTCCAGCAAGTTTAGAGCGTCGGTCACCTGATGGTGGGGCCTCTCATTGTCATTACAATTTGGTGTCTTATTCTTTTCCCCTTTTAAGGTTTGTGCCTTATCGGGGTTGCTGGAAGTCATACCAACCCCATCGCACAGCCTGGGTCCAAACCATTGTGAGAGATCAGCTTGCAATGTTATACGGCCGTCTTTCCCTTCATTCTTTTGGGCAAAAACCTCTCCATCTGAGTCTCTCACTATTACCCGTTGGTGAGCGCTTCCATCTACAAGCCTAACCCAGAGGACGAAACACATCCCTAGGAGCGAGAGAAGGATAGTCTCAGGGGATCTTTTGGATGTTGTCGAACTCGCCATCTTTGAGATCCCTCTTCCGGTGCTTGAGCCGCCTGAGTCACAAAGGCTATATTGACTAATCTCCTATTTTCTAGTGCCTCTGGATCTAGTGGGGTATACACCCTATATGCCTCCATCAAGCGCTCTAAGAAAGCCCCGGGCGACTCATCTCGTACTTGCACAACTTCGCTGACCTTACTAAAATTAGTGGGCTTCCTAGCTGCTGCCTTGAGACCCCACAACAGAGCCTGGCGATATTGGAGAAGCGCTTCCCTTCCCCCACTCGAATTTGGGTCCCAATTAGGGGGTTGGGAGGGCAGGATATCCTCCAGCTCTCCTCTTCCTCCCGTAGTTACCCCCTCTTCCCCCATGATAGCTTTTGCTGCTTCCCTCATGATCCTCTCTCTCCTCTGAGGTAAATAGGGTTTGCAGAACTTGCTGGCAGTCATCCCAAGTGGGCTGGTGTGTCCTAAAAATAGTCTCCAAAAGGGAAATCAACCCCTGAGGCTTTTCCGAGAAGGGGGGGTTCTGGTGTTTCCAATTGTATAAATCACTAGTGGAGAAGGGTACATAACTCAAGTGCGGGGAAGCCCGCGGCGCATCCGGTGCGGTGGGGGGGCCTGTCGCCATGGTAAGATGGCCGCGCCTGTCTGAGGAGGTAAAATGGCGGCCGCGGCATCCGCCCTGCCCGGAAGGCCCGTCCCTCTACTGTACTGAGTGCCGCCTCGAGTATGGGGCGGACTCTGAATCCTTTTACCCTCCTCGGAAGAGTCTGGCAGTGGCTGGGTTGGATATGGGGGCGGTGTGAGGGCTGGGTCCAAGGGATCCCCAGGCTGACCGGGCAGTACGGGGTATAACCTGGGTCTGGCGGGGGCAGCAGCACGTGACCTTCCCCCATCAGATTTCTCTCTCGCCCCTTTACTCTCTCTGCCCCGCAGTTATACAAATTGCCCTCTTCCCCCTCTTATTGGCTTGCATGCATTTCCGAATGTACCCGGGACGTTCAGTAGCTATATCTACCCAAACGTCAATATAGACAAACTGATCAGGATGAGGCACCTGATACACCGTGGCTCGGACAGCGAACAAGAGGGGAAGATCGAAAGTCCCCTCGGTGGGCCATCCCACGTCAAAGGTCGGCCACTCAATCTGGCTGAGGGTCCACAGGAACTCCGGGTTGGGCGGAGGCCCACAGGTACTGTGGGTACCACTAGCCCGCTTCTGAAAATCAGAAAAGTTGTTCAATAGACAATCGAGGGGCGATCTAGGCACTGATCCGTTCTGGCCCATCCTGAAGTGCTGGACAACCTTAGGAATTTCAGAAACAAGAAAAGAAATAACCAGAGCTAACACAAAACACGTACCCAAACACCACAATTTCCTATCACACACTCTCCTCTCACACACAGGCGAACCGCGGTTCTCAGGCATACGCTTTCTCGCAGCGCGGCGCAGCGCGAAACGAAACTAAACACAAAGCGACCTAGTCACAACTCCCGAGGGTGTCCCCTCTTCTGGGAGCCCCTGGGTGGACTGCCGGCAACGTCTCACCTACCACCTAAGAGTCAAATAGTCTAGACTTACAAAACCAAAAGAGGATCCTCCTTACTTACGTGTCCTCCAGCAGCCCGTCCAGTGCTGGGCCCAAAGATATCTCGCTGGGGCCTCCAAAATGTTACATCCAGTCCTTGCGAGCAAGAAGGGTCGGAGACTGTCGGGTAGTCAAAGATGGTTTATTGGCCAAAGTTTCAAAGTTTTACCTGCGCAGGGGCGAACTCTCCGCGTGTCTCCGGAAACACGGGTGCCAACATGGCTGCAGATGAGAGTCTCGCCTAAAGCTTACAGACTAGGGTTTTTATAGGAGCGGAGCAAGCAAGCAGTTTTGCAGAAGCGAGAGGTGGCGGTGTTAGCGATTGGCTCAGGGCTATACCAGGGCCCGAGGTCTTACTAAGGATTGGCCCGCAGAGCTCGTGATCAGCTCGTGCTCTGGTTGGTGATTGGTTCTGGGGCTCATGGTCAAGTCATGCCCTGGGGTAAAATTTTCAAATCTTCTGCTGCCTAGCTGGGTGGGGTTTCCCGCCTAAGTCTAAAGCAAGCTTTTATTATGCACTCTTCTTCACTTTCTCACCCTTCAACAATAGTTATATAATAAATCAAATAAAATCAATAAATTATATCATAGAATTATTTTATATAATAATATCCTTTTATGTTATATAAAATTATATGTAAATTATATAAAATCATGTATACATAATTATGTTATATAAATTATGTAGATAATATAATTAATATAATTATATTATGATTGAGATCAGTGAAACACAGGACTGTTCTTTAGTAGAGGCCCTCTACTTGCCTGATAGAAGATAACAGAGGCTTTGTATGTATGTAGAGTGTCAGAGGTGGTAATAAGTATAAATATTTGAGTCCAAAAGCCAAGCAACATTTTCTATTGTTGACATAATTAAAGATGTCCCTTATTGTTCTCCCCTTTGCCCTTGTCTGCCCAGCCCAAACCCCTGCTTCCACAGTTGATCACTGCACTGTTGTTCATGCCATGGGCTATTCATGCATGCTCTTTCTCTAATCCTTCCCCCTTCTTTCCACCACTCCCCCTCTCCCCCCTTAGCTCTGGTAGCTGTCAGTCTGTTTCATGCTCCCATGTCTCTG